TGAGTGGACTGTATATTTTGTAAAAATGTTCGCACTGACTGATTTGTAAATCCGTACTAACTGTCGCACTTACTTGAATGTCGTATTGTCGGTACGTCGAATTAATGTCGCATTACATTAACAATTGCATTAACTTTCCCGCTGACGCCTATACGAATGAGTGCTAGCCAATCAGTTTGAAGCTTCGAGCCGAACTAACGTAGTTCGTCCAAACGATGAAATTAAACATTGATAGGATGATCGATGTTAACCGTTTTTGATGCTAAGTATAATCGATCGGCGACTGGGAATGAAGACAATAAGTGATTGCATTACAACAGCATCGATAGAGCGTGGCAGACGTTAAGACTTCTTGTCAGCAAAAAAACAATTGAGCCGTTGCCCTTATTCAAACGTATCTAAATAGAATAATGAATTCTATTATATACATAGAATAATGAATTCTCTATTGTGTGGAGAAGAAGCCTAACGTCTTTTGTACAAAATAATTCAAACAACCATAGAAAATGACCCGAACATTAATATTAATATATTCCATATAGAATACAAATTTGTAATCTCTCCTTCCCCCCAAAAAATGAAGAACAAATTCTCTATTAGAATGAAGAGAAAATTGAAAAACAAATCTTTCAGCAAGATGGGTAAAAGATCGAAGGAGAAATCCTTCGTCAAATTGAATAAAAAATCGGAGGACAAAATTGAAATAAATTATTCCCAACTCTTTGAATATCGCGATTGAATCGATATTCAGGAAGCGGAAGAGGAATTTCGGAATTTTCCAGAGAAGAAGATATGGAGTTCGCGTGTCGAAATCGATGAAGATTTTTTTTTTCAATATATATTCATGGCACATGGAAAAATTTCAAAATATTTCGAGTAATAAGGCAATGGAAAACGCGTAGTCCGAAAGTTAAATCAAAGATGATTTCTTCACAATTTCGAGTATAAATCGGATGTACTGTAAAGATGCTGTACAGATTTGTAATAAACAACAAATAATTGTACGGAAGAGAGAATGATTTTTATATTTATAACAAAAATAGTTAAGAACACTATAGACTAAATTATAAATCGAGAAAAAATGTTTCTACATTATGTAGGAATAAAAAGTAAGAGAGAATGAAAGAAAGTTTTATTCTCAAAAATTATAAAAATTCAAAGTCTGTAAAAACATTGGAAAATTTTATTCATTATTCGAATTGTTCATTACCACCACTATGGTTTTGAAAATTTCATTCTAAAACTTGCTACATGATTTTTTTTTTATCGCTGTTTCATTAAACTTAGATTAAAAGACGAGAATTCAAAAAATTCTAACATTTCGTAAATTTAGTCATGGAAATAATTTTTTAATGTTTTTACAGATATTTGAATTTTTAGAATAAAAGAATCCTTACTTTCCTATCTGCAACATGATGTAAAATCATCTTTGAAAAAAAAAAAATATCAAAGAAAAGGTATTATACTTTAAAATAAGATAATTGAATTGTTACTTGGATTGTTAATTACAATGTCTGTTCACGAAGTTGTAATAATTTAGATAATAATAATTTAATAATAATTAAATAATTAAATAATTAAATAATTTAATAATTTACCCGGCTAACTAGCGGTCCACGAGCTCTCACCCCTGATTACTAGTGCTAATCCCTTCGATCTCTCTACTAGATTGAAATTTCCTTACCGTAGATGAGGGAGTGAGCTCGGGCTCGCGAGCTGCCAGTTAATAGCTCTGACTTAGCTATTCGATAGTATTAAAGAAAGAAGAAAGAAATTAAAGAAGTTCCATTAGGAAATCACTAACACATTTTATTGGGATTCTTATCAGCTGGAAATTTATATAACATGAACTCAATATCGATATTAGAAAACCTTTTTTTTTTATTGTTGATTTGGGCTAGAAAAATTCCCAGCCGACAAAAGGCGATTTTAGAAGAGTTTTATTTAATTTTAATAAATTCTCAGCGTGTGTTTCTACCTTTGTGTTTACAAATTAAAACCTGAGACCTATGTATCACAGACACACATTCGTATTGGTTCGCAGAATTCGTATGTATGATATCAACAGTTTTTCACAAATACTTCGGAAATTATGTAACAGTTACATGTAAAAGAAAAAGTTATTCAAAATGTCGATATCTACAACATATCCAAACATCATCGAAATCGGAGAGGAAGTAGCTTTTCTACAACTTTATTTACAATTTAAAACGTTAATGTAAAGAAAATTACGTATAATTTACAAAAATTAAAAATGAAAATACATCATCATGTATATTTTAGTAAGGATTTTTTTTTAATCGTTATCAGACCCTGGAAACCCTATTAATAAGATGTATACGGTCCTGTGCGTACCAATGTTGCGTTCTCCACCGTTACAATTAAATAATAAATATTTTGTTTGCTCACACGTGACATCTTAACCTCTTCAAAAAAAAAAGAAAAGTTTATTACTGTACTTGCGGTTATAATTGACATTGGTTATTTGTCTTTTGTTGATACATTAAATATATATCAAGAATTCGTAATTTGTGAAGAGTTTATAAATAGAACACAAACGAAATAAATAATACTGTATTTATTATATCATGATTTAAAATTTTCTTTTCAAATTTATATTTGCTATTGTATCATTATGTATTTTTCTATGTCATGATGATATATTTGCTATTGATCATAATTATTGTTTCAATATGAAAATTCGAAATAAGAATTTTTCGTAGAATAATTTTTGTATTTACTGATCAAGATTAATTAATTCATATGATGTGTTAAACATGTCTGAAGCTTTATTTAAATATTCCTATTATTAATTATATAATTATATACATTGATACATTCAAACAAAATATTATGTTGTAATCTTTTAAGTGATTGACAAGTAACATATAACTAATTTATAATTAATTTACTTAATAAAATAATAGAAATATGATTTCATAAATTTGTAATTTAAGAAGAAGATTTAAATAAATTAAAAAACTAAATTAATAAAAAATTCAAGAATCTTAAAATTAAAATTGTAAAATTGTAATTGCAAATATCAGTATTTAATTTTTTATTCTCTCACTATTCTAATATATTTAATGTTAAATGTGTTAATTTAATGTGAAAAATTGCTACATCTCAAAACATTGTCAAATATTATATAAAATATTTATCAAGTATTGTCAAATATTATATAAAAAGAATTTAATTTTTTATTGCTTTCATCTAATTTTATATCTGTTTTTCTATTAGAAGTTTCCCTATAATTAAAGATCTTTGAAAGATTATTTTTTATTTGCCAAATTCATCGTTTTGTTAATTTATGTCTGTCACTAATTGTTTTACATGCTTTTTTACTGTGATATACTATGTCACTGTCGTATAGATACTCAAGTACAAAAAAAAAATTGTTTAATGTATAGAAAACTTCTATTGGATATAATATTCGTTTGCAAAGGCTTTTCATAAAGTGATTTATCACAAGTATTCTGGCTACGAACCGTGGCACATAGATTTGCTTTATTTCATGCTCAAGAG